TTTTACTGCAGCATGACCTCCAAAACGCCACAACAAAGACCAGACCCTACAGTGTGGACATGAGCGGCAATGCTGGAGCGCTTCATGATCTGCACCTAAAAGCTGTTTATTTTAATCAGTATGGATGTGCAGCACATGGAAAACTGCTTTTTCTATGAATGGAGACTAACTGTTCATACATTTATTCACCTTCTGCACCACCTAATCCGATCTCAGCACACGGGAATAACTATTATGGAGTTTATTTTTATTTTTAATGCAGAAAGGTGTTTATCTTTTTGCTGTCATTTGACTTTAAAGCTAAAATAAGCTTCTTTTTTTTACCCCAGTCTGCTTAAATTTAGTGTGCAAATTTGCTTATTGTATTATTTTATATTAATGTACATTTAATTATTATTAACATTTATTTTAGACTGCTTTGAGAGCAAAAAAGGCAATTTAAAGGCATCAACTTGAGCTCCATGTAAGCACTTTCTGAAATTTTATAGATAAACAATCAATGACTTGCATCTTTTTTGTGTATGTGTTGAGAAAGGAGGTCTACTCCTGTAAAAAGTCTATAAATGGATGCAAGTGACTCTATTCTTTTTCCCCACTTCTCATTTAAATTCCACCCTACACTGTGGGGCGTTTAAGTGGGTAGCGCGGTGATACATCAGCTCGAAATTTATGATCAACTCCTGTGATATTTCTTGAGCAAACTGAAAGGGAAAGTGAATTTAATAACAAACCCCCTTTAACAGACCGTGACAAGCATATTAGCCATGCTGCTGTAATTTACGACCAAACTAACCAAAACACTGACGGCTTTCCAACAAAACATTAAAACGTCCAACAACAGCAGAAGCCAAGTCCCGGCTCTGCGTGTGCTCTTTATAAACGAAGAGTTTGGTGCTTTCTTTCTTTTTTCTCCGCCCTGCCTCTTTTTATTTAACAAAAACAAAGACTGGCGGGAGATGAGGCGACACATGGCACGGTTCCTGAGCCGAGCTTTGAACCCACACTGTTGCGGGGTGTCTTTCATGCAGCGCCCGGGACTAACACACAGAAACTGTTTGCATGCAGTGTATAAATCCCTCTGATGTGCAAAGAATAGTTTGGTACAAGAGTGTTGCAGAGTAAGCAGATAGTGATTGACCCAATGAGTGGTGGAAAAGAAAGAGTCCTATGAGTCACTCTGTTTTCAGCAAGCCGAGGACTCGACGCGAGATCTCGAGGCCTGAACGCTCGTTTTCCACAGAGAACAGAGAGGAAGTTTTCTGGTGTGAGAGTAAATGCAATTAAATATGATTCAAAAACCTGATTGTGTTTGTCATTTGGTCAAACTCGTCTGTTCTCGGCAGACTCGCAGCTCCAGGTTATCGGCAGTCGGACATCCCGGCCAGCTTCAGGTGCTG